ATCTTCGAAGGCAAAGTTCATCAAGACAAAGATGAATTTCTTGTTGCAGTTCTCCAAAGGGGATATCAACAAGTCTTCTTTGCTTGTTGAGAAAAGATCTCTCAACTTGTTGGGAGAGTTCTTTAGGAATGGAAGCTAAGAAGACTTGTTTCAAATTCGGATCAGCTCCTAGGCCATAAAAGAGTTTAAGCATTTCTCTGTAATGGCGATCTAGGTGCCTTTTTTTTGGAGAGAACAACATTTTCTTTCAAAGTATTCTCTTCTTTTGAGTTCAAGAAGATCAGCAGGTTTTCCTATGAAATATAGGTAAATGATTCCAATGGCTTGGGAAAAGTCTTGAAGAAGAAGAAAAGTCATTTGATCTGTTTCAGAAGTGGATTGCCACCAGTGTTTAAGGCTTCCAGTAAACCTTGTGGTAAACTCTAAAAGAACATCATATTTGCGTTCAACAACAAGAGCTCTGGTGTTCAACCAAGCATGGAATTCATCCAATTTTTCTGGCCATTTGGAATAAGGAGTGTCATCAAGAGTGAAAAACTGTTTGGATGAGGAAACAGAAATATGAGAGGGGTTATTAATTTGAATAACCTCTGGTTCAGATGGATTTGGTTCCATGTCTTGTTCTGGCGGATCAGCCATGAAAATTGGAGGAGTAGTAGGTGGTACGTGGAAAGATTCAATGGAAGGAATTGGAAAAGTAGACGAAGAGGAAGAGGATGAAGAGTCAGATTCCGAATCTGAATTTAGCAAATTTGATACCTTTGCTACTTGAGAAGTGCACTCTGGTAGATGTTGGTCTGAATCAGCTTTTGGATTTTGTTGTTGATCTTTGCTTAAATCCCTCAGAAAGGATTCCAAAGGATTTGAGATCATCATCTGTTGGTCAGAACTCTTTTCAGGTTCTCCAGAGGACTCAGCAACACGTTTTGCTTTTTCTTTCATTCTTTCCTTTCGGAGCTTTTCCATTTCCCGAATGCGATTGCGCATCTCTGTCATATCACTTATGTCTCGTTGGGTAGAAGTTTCGGCTGCAAGAGCAGCTGCAGCAAAAACTGGGGAGTTTTGCGGTGGTGGAAGAGAGTATCCGATTCTTGGAATAGAGAAAAAATCAGTAGGCTTAAATTTTCCTTCTTCAAGGAGACTGATTTGCCTTTTGAGTTTCTCTATATCATTTTTCGGACTTTCAAGATAATGGTAGCCAAGATGCTGGCCTGATTCCAGAGCATGAAGTCTTTTCTGGAAATCCACAAGCATCTTTTTGATGGACTCATCGTATCTTCGGATATCTTGTTGCATATCAACAATTTTGGAGTCAAGCGTCTTGAAAGCCTGATTTTGTGCCAGAAGAGTTTTCGATTGCCAATTTAGAACAGCCTCAGCAACAGGCGTTCTTTTTGGCCTTCCACGTTCATCAACATCAGTGGGAGAAGGAATTTTTGGAGTATGAAGGTATCGTTGCTGTGGGTTAGTAAATTCCTCAGTAGCAGGAAAAGAAAGCTGAGAACTTTCAACAGGATTTAAAGGAGGGAAGTCAGCTTCATTGAACATGGAGATAGATGGAAGTTGCCCGGTGGTTGGGTTTTCAGGAAAGACTGGGATTTCAAGTGGATAAGAGTTTTTCTTTACCCACTTATAGATGGGTTTGTAGAAAGGGGAAACAAAAGATTTTTTATATGGGGGTGAAACTGGAGGTGATGGTGGTGATGGTGGAGATGATGGAAATGATGGGGGTGATGGAGTTGATGGGGATGATGAAGGTGATGGTGAACCAAATGAAACCATAAACTGGTATCCGCTATTTTCTCCAAGGGTATCTATGGTTGGATCTTCATCCAAATATCTTTGGTAGAAGCTGTCCTTGGCCTTCCTAGCTTTTCGCTTAGGCCTGATAGCTGGATCTACTTCATCTGGGGAATTTGTACATGAAGAACACTGGCAAAAAGGATCCCAAAAACAATGACCATAAGGGTCTTTGTAGTGATGGACAGGATGTTCATCACTTTTGAAGTATTGAACCAACTTTTTTGGGTCTAGTTCCTCAGGAACTGGATTAGGAACATAGGGTTTTATCATAAAGATAGTAGGAAAGATAGAAGGAGTTTCTTCTTTCTCTTTGCGGAATTTGATGGTTACAGTACCATATCTTTGTCTGACAAATTCAGAGTCTAAAGACTGGAGATGTTGGCTAATTTGGTGGAGCTTTTCATAATTTGTTATCCAAAATTCAGGAAAAAGCTTGGCTAACTTTTCTTTTGGAATCTGCCGAGGAACATGGATGCAAGAGGCCTGATCATTTTGCATGGAGATGAAAGTGCATCTTCATTTCCATGTTGGAAATTCAGATCTAGGGCATGATTTTGAACTCTATACACCATTTGATAATGGAGAGTTGCGGCAATGGAATCGGCAGTTTGAGGTGCTCCAGTAAGCTGAAGTTGCACTTTCAAGAAAGAAAGTAGCTGGGGATCGAAAAGGGCAATATTAAAATTTGGATAAAGGGTTACAAAGACTGTTCCAGCATTTAAGGTGGTTTGGACAGTACCAATACAAGCATGCTGGTATTCTAGGAACCTAGTATCCAAAAGAGCCATTCTTGCTACAACAGGCAAACCTTTTCGCCCGTGGAAGGTAAGAGCAAGACGGACTGCTCCATAATGAATATGCGAATACCCTTGTTGGATCCACTGTTTGGGAAATTCAGGAGGAATTTGAAGAGTAACAAAGTACTCCTTTTCAGTGGCAGGAATTGGGTGTTGATCAAATTTGGAAGACTGGACGTATTCTTTGACCTCTTTCGGAGTATGACGGATGAGATGTCGTATAGACCTGATGGGGGAAAAAGATGAAGCAGGTTTGGCAAAGGCTGAGTATGGATTCATGAGAGGAAGTTGCGTTTCGGAAATCTTGGTTTCATCACTAAGAGAGACTTCATAGAGATAGTTTATCTTAGAAGCATGTGAAGTACGAAACTCGGTTAAAGATGAAGAAGAAGATGATGGAGTGAGAGAAGAAGTGAGAGCGATTGGAGTTGTATTTGGATCGGTCATGATGAAGAGAAATGATTCTTTGCAGCACTGGACAATCACCAACTAAGCGCATAGAACGAACCAAGCTAGACATAAAACCACGCTCTGATACCAATGAGGGGATCTATGCTCAGAGCCAGGGAAAACCAGGTCAGTTTACAGCAGGTATGCTATCCCGCACGGGCAAACCTCTTGTTCAAGCCCTTCAGGGACTGCCTTTTAGCTGCAAAACTACCCGGAGATTTAGCTCAGAGCATAGAGACGCTCAGAGTGACCAGGATGATGTTATGCCTAACTGGCCGAGCTGCATTTCTTAGAGGATCATGCCAGGCTTTGAAGAAAAGGATTTTTAGAGAGGCATGGAAAGTGAGATCGAAAGTGAGAGCTCTGAAATTTCACAACTTTCCCCTCTTATTCCAAACCGAAGGATTACATGGCCTTATATAGGCGTCAGGGAATACATTGCTGGATGAAGGTCTAGATAAAACAAAACACACCTAAACGGGGTACATTATTGGACTTCTGTCCACATAAGACAAAACTCACCTAAAACTAAGTACATTATTGGGCACACCTAAAATACACTTGTAGAACACTTAAAGCCTATTCATAGGTGAAACAAGACCCGGCTATGATATGCTAGAACAAACAGTGCCGGTTAGGTGAAACAGTACAAGCTTATCTCCATCCAGAGTTATAGTCATAATCCGAGCTGTCTGAACTGTTTGCACATTCATATTCTACTATCTGTCTCTGTGTCAGAATGTGTTCGAAATTATCTGGCGTTGGGTTCGAGGAAGAGGATGCATGTGTCGAAAGGTCTGGAAGAGTTGTATTCTCAGTGTTTTGTGGTAACAGGAGTTCATTCCACATTCTGATGCCAAGGTTTGGCTATAGATTTTGTTCAGGTAAGACTAGCTGAGGCAAAACTGGCTGGGGCCAATTTTCTAGCTGTGAGTAGTGAGAGGCAGAGCTAGAGTTAAGTCCAACGGATAAGGACAATGGTCCATAATCATAGGGGTCTTGAGAGAGTGGTCCACCCCATGGATCCTGAGAGGATTGTGCGGGTTCTTGAGATGATAGCTTCTAGACTTTTTAAGTGCGCTACAACCAAATGGTCACTTGGTGGTTATATCCACCTGTTGATGGTTCATAGCTTTGATTTGACTTCAGCAAATCAATTCAAGTTTAAGTAGCAGAAGGGTACTCGTAAATGGTATAAAGCTAACCAAGTGGGTTTTTACTGCTGTGAGTGCTTCTAGCTATTGGGTTTTGATTCAATTGAGATGTCTGGAGAATGTTTTGTAGTCGCACGGTGCTCAAGTCTCAGCATTGTTACTGTTTGTGATTTACTCGGCTGAATTTCTTGGATACTTCCAATAGCAATTCCGCCCCGATAAACATTGTTACCGCAAAGACGACTGTGAACTTACTGCTCAATATGTAATCGTATGAGATCAAAGAATTATGAAAGAATTCCCTGTTCTGATAATAGCTTCATACTCACACGGGAAGCAAATCATTGCATGACGAAGAGAAGTATTTCAAGCTAATGAAAAGAGATTAAAATCTTTCCTGAGATGCAGAGACAGCGAAATGCTTGTACCTTGCATAAGTTCAGGATTTCTTCATTTAACTAGAAGCTCAATTTTCTGCAAATGTGAGTGTGCAATGGCATGTGAGTCCTAGTACGCCAGAACTGATTGCAGGTGCAGTGAGACGATCAAATGCGAAAAGAGAAGCAAAAAAGTTATTAATATAATAAGCCTTGCAATTATAGTTAAGTAATGATGAGATATCTTAGTGAAAGGGTCCACGGAAGGTCCAAACGTCCTCATCCATAGTATTCTAATTCTACGACCTCAAGTCTTCATTGGGTTCTAGACTGTGCTCACAAGTGGAGGGAAAAATAGCGGGTAGTTCCTCAAGAACTTGACCCTCAAGATCTCAGCTATAAATATGGGATCTTGGCTTTGAACGTTGCTCATCCCAAAACCTTCTGGTGCATTTCTCTCTCTATCTAGTCTAGTCCTCTAGGTTTGAGTTTACTCGTCTTGTATTAGTATCTGCAATGAACTATAGTTGTCTTCTTTGTGTCCTGGTGCTCTTGCCAGCACTTTGTCACTGTCAAGATTCATTTACACCCTCAAGAGCTACTTTCTATGGCAGTCCTGACTGCTATGGGACTTCAAGTATGTGCACGCTCCGTCTCGTGTTAGAAACAAAGCATGCATCAGCCCCAGCACACCACATGAGCGCCGCACATAAATTAGGTTCCCACGTTAGTATGGAGCTACTAGAGCACTACTAGCTATAATAGTATCATGTCAGATAAGTACACAAATTAACATTTCTTTTCTTCTAAGAAACTTTTTAAACTATGTTTATGGTCATGTGGCATGCTCTGTTACATCATGAATAACTTTTTGAGGGTATCCGCTCTTTCCCTTAATACTCAGTAGAGCGCAAAAAGACACGAGAGGATCTGTGTAGTGGCATATCTCACTCGGTACTTGAAGGCTTGGTTGTTCACATGCACTCTTTGAATCGCTCCATTTCATCATGCACAAACCAAACACTCGAAACAGAACAATTTTTGCTCGAGAAGATCTAATGAGTGCAATGTTTATGGCAGCTGGAGCTTGTGGATTCGGCGAGTATGGAAGGACCGTGAATGATGGCTATGTGACTGGAGTTTCGAGGCTTTACAGAAATGGATCTGGCTGTGGTGCTTGCTATCAGGTTGAACTTCATATAGACTAGACATTAATAGATGATGACTCTTTTTGACTTTTTTATACAGTCAATTTTTTTTTGAAGTATAGGTGAGGTGCACGAAACCGCAGTGCACAGGCGACGGAGCAAACGTGGTGGTGACGGACTATGGAGAAGGAGACAGGACGGACTTCATCCTGAGACCTAGAGCTTATGCGAAGATGGCTCAACCGGACGATTACCAAACCAAGCAGCTGTTTGCCTACGGAGTGGTTGACGTCGAATTCAGAAGGGTTCCGTGCCGATACTCCGGCTACAACCTCATGTTCAAGGTCCATGAACGCAGCAGAAACCCATATTATTTAGCTATCATCATATTATACGTTGGCGGCACAAATGACATCACAGCTATGGAGTATTGCCAGGTATTCAGCCATCCATATTCCCATGAGTTTGCTTCAATTTTGTTTCAAGTAGAATCGAATTGAGCCAGAAGTCAACATAAACACGAACTAGAGACCATGAGTCGATAATGACTTTGCTTCTCGAGACTTCGATGCAGGAGGACTGCCAAAAGTGGAAGCCGATGCGCAGAGTGTACGGAGCAGTGTTCGACACGCAAACTCCGCCGAGTGGTTGCGTTAACCTGCGGTTCCAAGTGAGTGGGAGCCACGGAGCGACTTGGGTGCAACCAAAGAATCCCCTCCCTGGTGACTGGAAGGCTGGTGCTGCTTATGACTCCCAAATCCAGCTAGACTAGAAAAAGCTAAAACCAGTCCCTTTCTATTCTGTCGATTGGGAAGTGCTGCTTGCCTTTTTCATTACTGCTAGGTACGTATAGCTCAGATATGGCCAATGCTATTGGTGGCATTACTGTTGCTGAAATAAACAGGCTTAGCTAAGCTAGATAAGGCTTTCTGCCTGCCTTGACTAAATAAAGGAGGTCTCTGTAGCATTTCATCAGGGGGTTGTGGGATTGATGTCTTCTCTTTTTGTTAGCATGATTAGCTATATAATAAATGAGATTGGTGTCCCATTAGGAGGATAAAGGTACATTTCGCCGACTAAAGGTACATCCAGCACTGAGGTTCTTCAGAAGAACTTCACTATTGAATGACAACATTCCCACCAGAATATAATTGTCCTTACCTAATTACCAACTATAGGTACAGTCAAATTACAATAAATTCAAAGGGTTCATGACACAAATAATTCATGAATTTTAGTCTAATATAAAATATGGTCCATAAACTTTTAATTTATTCAATACAGTATCTGAAAAGTTCATGGACTACTAATGTCATTTTCCCTTCAAGGAAATTACGGCCCACAAAAAAAACTTACCAACCAAATAAGCAAAACATGCTACTTTCAAAGCAAATTACTTCAAATTTGGTAGATTGCTACTTTTGGAAAAATCATTTGCCTTGGAAGACATGTTACCAATTGTCATCTTCAAGAACATATGGGGAAAATTACCATTGCAATTGTTGATAATAAATACGACAATTTGGGATTAGTTACTAGGTCGTAGCTTTTTAGGGTTACAAAATCTTTGGCCAAATAATTATTTGTTAAAAAATAGGTATCCAGGTAGATTTTGACCCGTCAAGGTAAATTAATTACCCCATGAAACAGAACGTACTACTTTACAGGAAAATTATTTCGTAAGAGGTAAATTACTACTTTGAGAAAAATTAATTCCGCCATGACCCCGATCACTAGTGATGTTTAGAAGAACTTATGGAAAAATTATCATCTTTGAGGATAGTTCTGTTGACACCTAAATTTCGGCGCATCATTTAGTGGTTAATTGCATAGAAAATTAGGGATTAAATTTTAACCCCTGAACAAAAATATTACAAATCGCATAGCATAAAGTTTAGGTTTATATAGATTAACTGCATTTCACATCGGATCGACGGTGGTAAGCGAGCTTAAAATTCATCACGTAAATCGAGCTCGGGCACCGAACGAGACTCGGCTCACTCGGAAAGCATGGGCCGAAAATCACACGCAAAAGGGCTTAGTTGTCTTAATTTGAGCTTGAATTAGCCCATTATGCTTAATTAAAGAAAAGCCCAAATTAATTCAGCCCACTTAGAATTAAATTAAAGCCTAAACCTAAGCCCATTAGGACTATAAAGCCTGGCTAATTGACCTAGGTTTACATTATAAATATATGTTTATGTCTCATAATCAAAGGGGGGGACTCTCACAATTTCGGAAAGGAGGAAGCCACACAATTGACATTCACGGCCATAGAGAGACAGCCACCGTTGAGAGAGAAAAAGTGAGAAAAAGCTACAAGGAGGAGACCTCTCTTTCACGATCGTCCCTGATGAACGTGGCTGTGCTGCTCTGCCTCTTACCTTGCCGCTGCGCCTCCCAATTCCCAGCGAAGTGGACAAGCTTGGCCAAAATTCAGCAAGCATCCGAGTCATTACGGTTCTTTGCTCCCCGTTGCCGCTTCCGGTGCGATCGACGAAGCCACGTGATCTGCTTGCTCTCGGCCTAATCCACCCGATCTTGTTGCTGTCTTGCCGCGACGACTTGGTCCCGACGTCTTTACACGACCAGACTGTTTTTGCCATTGAGCTATCTTCCTCACGGTGGGCTGCAATAACACCAGTTTTTCTTTAGACGATTCCCTCGAGGTTTGTTGCGAACTTTCAGCTCGATACACACGGAGTGCCCCAACGCTAGCCGCTCCTCTGGTCGCCGTTCCGTGCCAGGCCAACCCCGACGCCGGCTGTTCCTCTGGTTGCGTTCCGTGCGAGGCCTGCCCCACCACAACGCCAACATCCTCCGAAGTTGCTGCCATCCTCGACGTTCGTCGCCCTCCTGTGGTGAGCTGCTGCTGTTCCGCGACTTCCGAAGACTGCTCGTCGCTGCTATCGTCTACCACCGCAAGCCGCCGCCACTCCCGACGTCGCGCCGCCGTTCCCGACGCACCACCGGTCACCATCCCGATCCGCAATCCCGATCCGCTGCAAATTCAAATTTGGAAAGAAATCTGCAAATCAGGTAATTATCTTATCCTGATTTGATTTGAATATTTTGTAGCCTAATTCGTGCTTATTGATATCTAACTTTGCATATTTGGATAATAAGCATTATTCCAATTAGAATTTTATTTCCTTTTTTTGAAATCTTGGATATCTATTACTTTTCAAATTTGGATAGAATTTAGAATTTTCAAAATCTTTTGAATATATCCAAGATATTTAAGATATCTAAATTTTTTTCAAGATGTGATCGATTAGGAAAATTTCCTAATCCGCAATCGCACATGTGAAAATAAATCTATCTATCAGGCTTTAGATAGAGTTATTCCCATAGCGGGTATTTCGAATTTTAGGATCGATCTGTCAGTCTTTAGATCGAAACTTAATTCGAAAGATTTAGCGGTTATATATATATTTACTTGATTTTAATTTCGAATTTTGATAAAAAAAATGCAAAAAATATTACTCTAGAGTAGGTTAATTTCTTTAGTTTAAAATTGCATGTTTAGATAATTGGCATTTTTAATTCCGAATTTCATTAAAGAAAAAAAATACAAAAAAATAATATGCCTGTCATTAGAAATAGGTCACATAGTCGCATGACATATAGTTTGCATGTTGGGTTGCATTAATCGCATGTCAATTTTTTGCACGCCATTACATATAGGTTAGCTTTCATTTAAATAAATAAAAAAATCAAAAAAGAAAATTTCTGCACCTTTGAACTCTAAGTCAGGATTTATCAAAATTGTCAAATTGAGTATTTTTCTTGAAATTGGTACCGAAAGGGCGTTAGGGAATCTAGCGTAACCAAGTCTCCGAATCTATAATTTCTGGTTCGCAGAAATAAAATAGTACTCCCGCTATTTTATTTAGGTTTCTAATCAACCTACCTTAAATGATTAGTGGCGACTCCTATTGAAAATATTTGCATGTTCACGATTGGACCTAAGTTGCGATTTGGTAGAGTTTGGGAGAACTCGAGCTAGGTTAGTTAATTTAATTGATCTAGTAATCCATTAACCTAAAATGAAAAACACGATTTTTTTTAGGTCACGACATCTTGGCGACTCCGCTGGGGATATTAACTTGAATTTTTTTTAAAAAAAAAAAATTTAAGGAGGACTTAGTCCAAAAAATTTTTATGGAAAAATCACTCGATTAGACAAAATTTGATTGAATTCTCATTCTTAGGTGTTAAATGGTTTTGCAGGATGGGAGTTATAATGGGAGTAGTGATTGGCTAACCCTTTGTTTTGCAGGCTTGGTGGAGTGGAATTATGATTTAATTTTTGTACTATTGAAGTGGTGTTTGCATATAATTGTTGTGCATGATTTACAGTATTTTCACTACACCACACACAACCTGTGACCGGACCTGGGTCACACCCATAGTTTTAAGATGGTATTTAGGTGGTTCTTTAACCTTGGCGGTAAGGCTTCGCTAAAGGTTATCCCATTTGGATCCCGAAAATTTTTCCAAAAAAATGGCTCAAGGGTCGTCCCCATGCACGTGAGGCTACAACGCATGGAGGTTGCCCTTGTCGACCGAACCAAGCCGAAGTGATTGGACCCGACTAGCATGACTATGGTATGCGAGGCTGCGACTAGTCATGATGATTGTACGCGAGGCTGCGACGTGTCGTTCCGTTCATCATTTCACTTTGCAAAAGCCATTAGGATAGATAGATTAAGATTTAAACTCACTATTCATGTGCATGTCTCTGTGATTGACATTTTTTCCCCAAGACGGTAATTTCTCGAGCTTTATCTTTGGTTTTCTGTATCTTATTTTGAGTCGGTCCATGGTTTAGGTTGAGTCTTTTGGCACATGGTCTATATAAGAATGGGTTGCCTCGATATCCGTTTCGTGCCTACTCCGAAGCTAGAGCTCAAGAAGTTATGGAGCCATTTGAAGCCAGATAGTTAGCAGTACGTTCTCAAGCGTATTGGATTCATGCTGCCAATCCTAGACATAGATGTTCAGAGCGGGATCATGCAAGCACTAGCTCATTTTTGGTGCCCCGAGACGACCACTTTTGTGTTGGGAGGTAAGTTTGAGCTCACACTGACTCTGGAAGAATACAGTATTGCCAATGGGAAATCGATTGAGTTGGATATAGTTGAACTACCCATTAAGGTAGATTCTGTGGTAGTGCTTGCTGAATTTTTGAATTTGACTAAAAAGGAAATTGAAAAAGTGCTAAAGGGTAATTGTCAAGCATGCCCATTATCTTTTCTTATTGAAGTTTCGAAAATAACTCCGTCCTCATGAGATCTAAAATTTTTATCTTAGTTTTTTTTGGACTCATCGTTTTTCCATTCCGTTAAAATGCTATTGATCCGGTGATAGCTAGGACGGTAAAACAAATATGTGGTGGAGTTAGTTTTATAAACACAATTCTGGCAGAAACTTTCATGTCTCTGACACGATTTAAGAAAGGAAAAGATAGAGCTTTTCGAGCCCCAATTGAGCTTTTACAAATCTGGCTTTTCTCACACCTTTCTCAATTTGGGGAAAATATGACTGTATTTGAAATGGACATGACTGATAACCCTATTTTAAGGTTCAAACAAATACAAGATCAAACTAAGAGCTTGCACTATACACAATGGGTCCATCTGTTCAAGGATCCAAGCTCTAAGATTTTCCTTTGGCAAGCTGTGTGATTTCGGGAGGTTGAGGCTCGATTATACCATGGCGATCAGAAGCCCGTACCTTTGATGTGCATTTATGGGGCAACCTGCTATCAGCCCCTTCGAGTTACACGTCAATTCCGAGTTCTGCAGGATGTCCCACCTCCACTCAGGCCCAATGAATTTCAAGTCCAGTTCGAGAAGGATGAGTCCTACAGAGTCGAGCTTAGGCGTCATTCTGAGGCTTGGCAGAATTGTTCCACTCAGAAGCTGATTTGGCTCGCGGATGAGCCCACCGGAAGGATGAGAAGTCACTTTGCCACAGCTCGGTATATTCAGCATCATACCATCCCTGCTGAGATACTCCCAAAGATCCTGGTCGTGACAGTACGGCATACCCTTCATATTCAAATCAAAATCAGCGAAGAAAAGGCGACGAAGGCCCAGGATAAGGCAGATGCTCTGGCTGAAGAGA